CCTTTTCCAAAAGCACAGTTTAATAATAAAATCAGCATAGATCTTCTGGGGCCTACTTCCATGATCCCACTTCAGCTTCCTAACAACCTTATTAAGAAGAGACAATCACCGTCCCCATTTTACAGATGAGAAAACTGAGACTCACAGAAGCGGAAGTCACACAGCTGGCAAGACCTAGGATGCTCCTTCCAGGCCTGTGTGACCTCAAATCCCAAGTCCTTCTCCACTTTACTAAGTTGGGGGGAGGAGGGGTTGCCATGCACTTCCCTGGATTTGTCCAGCGAATGTGGGGCCTGCCACCTCTGAAGCCCCGAAGACTTCATCTGGGCCCCTCCACCTCTTCTCGGACATAATGGCCGGTTGCCAATGTGTCTGTCTCCCTGAACAGGAGGGTCAGGGTGAGAGTGGATGAAGCCCAGGGCACCAGGGCTTCCCAATTAATATTTCGGTTATTCATTCCAGTGTAAAACAGCCAGCCCCTCCACTCCTGCCTCCAACCCAACCCTTTGTGATTTTTATTTATTTATTTATTTTGAGATGGAGTCTTGCTCTGTCACCAGGCTGGAGTGCAGTGGCTCGATCTTGGCTCACTGCAAGCTCCACCTCCCGGATTCAAGCGATTCTCCTGCCTCAGCCTCCCAAGTAGCTGGGACTACAGGCGCGCACCCCCACACCCAGCTAATTTTTGTATTTTTAGTAGATCTCAATCTCTTGATCTTGTAATCCGCCCTCCTTGGCCTCCCAAATGCTGAGATTACAGGCGTGAGCCACCACGCCTGGCCTGTGATTTTCTTTATCAAATTTATCACCACTTGACAATGTATTATAGATTTATTTATGGTCTATCTCCCTCACTAGAGGAAGCTCAGAAAAGCAGTGGCTTTTGGGCCATGTTCCCAGACATATCCTAGGACAGCATGTGGCAGAGCAGGGGCTCCATCCCTGTGTGCTGAATGAAACAAGTCACAACTGAAAAATGACTTCAGCAGATTTTGTTGAAGGACAATATCGTTTTATGTCAAGTGAGGTCCCCAATGTGCTCAAGACGGCCTCCCTATTGGTGGATGTCATTACTGAGGACCTACTAAGCATTACTGAGGACTTACTAGCCCTGGTCCTGGAGGTCACAGGGGTTACAGTTAGGGTGGTGTACAGGGTATAACAGGAATTAATCGCAGCAATGAGTGTATAATTCCATCCTGAACTTAACCTCTGACATACAGGAGAAGTCTTGTGGCCTGAGGCATTTGGAGTACAAGTCTGGGTAGGGCTAAAATGTGAAGAATCAGAAGATGTTACCTGGGAAAAGGGAAGCAGGGGGTAGGAGTGGCCTGGAAGAGCAGATGCAAAGGTCCCAAGGAGGGAGGGGTGGCATGCCTGGGCACAGAGGGCTGTTGATAAGTGTCTGAGATGTGGCTTGAGGTGTAAGCTGGGGGACAGGGGTGCACAGCCTTCTGGTTCGTGTAAAAGGTTTTTGCTCTTTTCCCTAAGAAAATGGGAAGCCAAGGCCAGGCGCGGTGGCTCATGCCTGTAATCTCAGTACTTTGGGAGGCTGAGGCGGGCGGATCACAAGGTCAGGAGTTCAAAACCAGCCTGTCCAATATGGCGAAACCCCATCTCTACTAAAATACAAAAATCAGCCGGGCATGGTGGTGGGTGCCTGTAGTCCCAGCTACTTGGAAGCCTGAGGCAGGAGAATCGCTTGAACCCAGGACGCGGAGGTTGCAGTGAGCCGAAATCACGTCAGTGCACTCCAGCCTGGGTGACAGAGTGAGACTCTGTCTCAAAAAAAAAGAAGAAGAAAAAAGGAAAGAAGAAAGAAAGAAAGAAGGAAAGAAGGAAAGAAACGAAAAAAAGGAAAGAAAGAAAGAAAATGGGAAGCCAGAGTGGGGTCTTAGGCAGAGGCAGAGGGTGGTACGATGGTATCAGGGCAGCTTGAAGTAGAGGCTGGCCAAACGGAAAGTGGGTTGGATTTCACTCTCACCCCTTCTGCCTGCTGTCACACGTTCCAGAGAGCCAGTTCCCCATTCCTCATCAGCAGCCCCGGTTTATAATGTACAACACTGTTTACAAAACACACAGGTCAAAAGAGAACACAATGAGAAACCACCCACTGACATTTCTTAGGTCCCACGTTAGCCAGCCCTGGTGGCTGATCCGGCCTTTGTAGCCCAGTGGTACCAGAGTAGAGAGGGATGGTTTGAGCCTTATGAGGAACTCTCCAGACCTCAGCCTTTGTGGGAGCTGCATGCTGAGCTATGACAACCTAATTGATCAACTCCTCCTGTCCAACTCCTCCTTGGGCCTTAGGACTAAAAACTATAAAGTCGTGCCTGTAATCCCAGCACTTTGGGAGGTCGAGGTGAGTGGATCACGAGGTCAGGAGATCGAGACCATCCTGGTTAACACGGTGAAACCCCGTCTCTACTAATAATATAAAATAATTAGCCAGGCGTAGTGGCGGGCGCCTGTAGTCCCAGCTACTCGGGAGGCTGAGGCAGGAGAATGGCGAGAACCCGGGAGGTGGAGCTTGCAGTGAGCCGAGATCGCACCACTGCACTCCAGCCTGGGCGACTGAGCAAGACTCCATCTCAAAAAAAAAAAAAAAAAAAAGTATAGTCTTCCAAAGTGTCAGACACTGCACTGGGCCTTTTGTGGCTTCAGCTCCTTTAATTTTCACAACAACCTTGGAGATGGGTATATCACAAATGAGTAAACTGAGGCATAAAGAGGTCATTGAGCTTGCCTGATCACTCAGTTACAAAGCTGCAAAGCTAACACCTGAGCCCATCTCTGTCTGATGCTGCACACCAGGGCCTGAGGCCACTCTAACACCGGTCTCTTCTGCTGTCTTCATGTACTTCACAGCTGGGGAAACACCAATGGTCTCCCCTGTGCCCAGCCCTCCCTCCCCAGGCCGAAGGGCAGGGCTTTATTTCACCCTCTGGAGTGTACTTCCTGAGGGCAGGGCTCGTTTTTTTCACTGCTGTATCCTCAGTGCCTAAACAATGCACAAAGTAGGAGCTCAACAAATATTTGAATGAACAATCCAAAGCCATTTGTTGAATGGACAAATGGATGTTCCCAAAGCTTAAAAAGAGTTTCATATTTTCTGCAAGGAAATTAACACTGAGTTAGGGGAAAGGGGGTTCATGTGCTGACTCCTACTTCGAGTTAGGTAGTAGTCTGGGATGCTAGCCTGGCCCTGCTCGCAATTCCCAGTGCCACCCCAGGGAAGAGCTGGGCTGGTCACGACAAAGGCATTGTGGAGGCCAACTCTGTGCCAAGCACTGGGTCAGGCTCTCCAGGCAGGTAGCCCAGGTTTTTCTCTCTTGCTTCCTAGCGTGGTCTTGGGGAAGTTACTTCACCTCTCTGAGCCTCAGTTTACCCAGCTTTAAAATCCACTCAAAAGTCAGCAGCAGTAATTCTTCCCTCCTGTAACTTCAGGCATGGGCGCCAGAAGACACGGCCTCCTTGTAACATGAGGGGCCTGGCTTTTCTCCAGAGGCTCCCCAAGCCCTGCTAGAACGCTTTGTTTGAGAGTCTGCGGGGCGGGTGGGGGGCAGGGAGAGACGAGGCGAGAGAGTCCTAGAGGCCTTCCTGACAGGGAGGTGGAGGGGCCACGTGGGGCAAGGGGAAGCACAGTGACCTCTTGTGACCTTGGACAAGCCCCCTTCCTCTCTGACCTTGACCAGCGTCCTCATTTGTCAAGGGAGCGGCTGGGTGACCTCTAAGAACTCGGAGGCCGAGGCCGGAGTCACCCGAATGCCCCGTCCAGCCTCAGTTTCCCCCTCTGCCGCCCCACAAGATTTCTAAAAGCACTTCCGGCTCTGAAAACCAACCAACCACCAGCAGGCGGCCTGGCTCAGGGCAGGCAGCGCCGGGGAGCGCGCGGCCGCTTCCTGGTGGGTCCAGTGTCCCTGGGGT